TTAACTACCCGGCAAGCAGTTGCAGAAATGCAAGTAAAGATATAACTCGTAACAAGCTTATTTCACGCGATCTTCGAAATGCCATTATCCTTTCAATGGAAATACGCTCAAAATAATTGATGATCTGCGCATGGACACATTCTCAAGAAACATCTAGACAAAGATTCAAAGATTGGGATAATCGTTGCAGTCACGTAAATGAAACAATATAAAAATATAACATTTTCACTAAGAAAAAAACTCCAAAAGTAAAACTAAACAACACAGAACTTACGAAGCTAGACAGATAAATTATCTTGACTGCATTTGATAACGCGCTGACTTGAGAAAACCCACATCAAGACTAGAGAAAAGAAGCGCAGCTTAACAGTCTCAACAGTGTTCCATGAAGTTCCCAGGGCTGGCCCTGGTGATGTGCTGTATAGAAGCCTGTTTGATCTCTCATAGGTAGTTATGGTTGATTTATCTGTATCAATTGTGAATCCTCATTCATTAAATATTGATGCTCTAATTTTTGCTGCGCATTTTGTTGTATTTGGAAGTTAATTACATCACTGTTTTGCCCCACAGGGCCACTTGTACCTTGACCATTCATTGTCGTTGAATTGATATCACTGAATTCACTGTGATGATTTAATGCTTCCACTGCTCTAGCGATGTGCTGCCCCGTATCAGGGGAGCCACTTGAAAACATTGTCACTACACACTGTACACTGAACTCGTAGAGTTGTTCTCTGCAAAACGTATCTCACTGAAGTCGCCCGTGAAGGAGAGCGCTCGGCGCACATCCGCTCGCTACCGTGTTCAGGCGAGAACTACGTTCCACAATATGCGCCGTCAATAATCCGGATTTGATTGTAACGAAAATAAACCCCCTCACTAAGAAAAATATGTATAATGTTCATGTACGTACACGATATTTTGTGTAATAAAAAAGTTTTTATCTCTAAGGGCAGAATTTTTGTTATTGTTCTTTACTAGAAATACTTCATTTTGTTGTAGATCGCTGTAGCTAAATTCAGATCTCATTTACTTACAATACTGTATTTGCATACAGAACAGATTTTTTTCGGACATCCCTAAAATTTCCTAGCATTAATGATTTTGTTCATCCTCTCCATTTTTGTAATCACATCGCATTAGGGTGATATATGAACGATCATAAGAAGTTTCTTTTTAACTCGAATACGTCTATCCGCCAGTTGATTGGTTTATTTCGAAAATCCGGATAATTCGATAATCCGGGTGGAATGCGGTTATAATCCAACGAA